TTGTGTCACATCCGTCCCCAGGGGTTGGGTAGGGCTAGGGAAGGCCTCCGCTCTCAGTGCCACGTGGCAAGGAGCAAGGCCTCTGGGCCCTCACTGGCGGCACCGAGGAACCAGGCTGGGACAGAGGTGGCAGAGTCCAGGGCAGGTGGTGTGGGCTGTGGGGTCTTGGGGTCAGGCAAAAACAAGCAGATGGTGGCTGAGGGCGACACTTCCCTGGGGTGGCCAGTGTCAGAGCCCATGAGACCAAATGGCCAGGACAGGAGGTGCAGGGACAGGGACAGACAAAAACCCACGGGGTCCCGGGGTACAGGTCACTTGTGTGCGCTGTCCTTTGTGTGTGCATCTGTGTGCTCCCACGCGTGTGTGCATGTGTGTGTGTGCGGGGGGTCGAGGTCCGTGCATTTGCATGTCTCAGCCTACGCACGTGGCCATGTCTACACGCACACACGTGTCTGTTCCTGTCACCCAGACCTTTGCTTGCCTGCCTGTGTGTGTGCATCCTCATGGGGGAGGCCAGGCAGAGGACACTTTGGCCTTGCACTAGGCCACCCTAGGAGCCAGCTATAAATAGGAAACCGGGGGGGGGGGCCTTCAGACAGTCACGGGCTGCGGAAGACAGGGCTAGGAGAGGCTGGGGGCTGCAGAGACTGCAGACAGAAGTGGGGTGCCCCCAATACAGAGCAGCCCTGGGGCCCACCTAGGGCCAGCGGCTGGGAGGTAGATTCCTGGGACCCTTAACCAGCTGCAGGGCAAGGGGGCAGCTGTGTGGTGTGTGTGCATGTTCGGGGTGTAGGGACCCTTGCAGGCACAGAGGACAAAACTCAACTAGGTGCTCTGTGTGGGGGCTGGGGGCCTGGAATGGCGCTGCCCCCAGAGGCTGCTGGGGCAGAGGTACAGCAAGGGTGGGATGGGGTACGGTGCTGGGAGGGATCTCCCAGGCCTCGGCCAGGAGCTGGGGCAGCTTCGGCCCAGTCCTGGGAGTCACCACCAGTGCGGAGTACTGCTGCTACCGGTGAGGGCGTGGGAGAGTGGCCTCCGGCCAGGGACAGCTGCTGTGGTGGGGCAGCCACGCAGGGGACCAGTGCGGGGGGGGGGTATGTCCAATGCACACGGGTTCAGCGTGCATGGAGCGTGTGCATGTCTGTGTTCATGATGAGGGTGTGCACGTGAAGCATGTGGGTGAGGCCCTGTCCCTCCCAGCGCAGCCCCTTCACGAGTCTCCCTCTGGTCCTCCTGACACCCTCTAGGCTGCCTGCACCTGCCTCGATGTCCCAGCCCACCCCTGCAGTACGCAAACCCAACCCCCACCTCCTCCCTTCCTCTGGCACTCAGCAGTGGACCAGCTCGTGTACTGCTGAGCTTGCTGTAGCTCCCTCTGGGCTCTGGGCTCTGGGCTAGGGCGGTCACTGTGGTCCCTGCTGGGGTCCCTCCCGGCCGGGCACAGAGAAGGGACTCTCAGGCTGAATGAAGTAACCAAGGAATGAATGCCTGTGGGGTGGGGGTTGGGGTGCGAGGGGGGGCGGGGTGGGTGGAGGCTCCAAGGATGTACGATTCCATCAGAAAGATGTCTCCTGGGGCGCCTGAGTGGCTCAGTCGTTAAGCGGCTGCCTTTCGCTCAGGTCATGATCCCAGGGTCCTGGGATCGAGCCCCGCATCGCATCGGGCTCCCTGCTCAGCGGGAAGCCTGCCTCTCCCTCTCCCACTCCCCCCACTTGTATTCCCTCTCTCGCTGTCTCTCTCTGTCGAATAAATAAATAAAATCTTTAAAAAAAAAAAAGAAAGAAAGAAAGATGTCTCCTGGGACCTCCGCGAGGAGGGCAGAGCATGGGCCGTGGGAGCCGAGTGGCTGAGGCGAGGGCGCCACCACGGCCCCCCTTGAACATCCAGGCCGAGGGTGTGGGTCACCCCTCTCAGGGGGCGCGGGGCTCAGGGGCTGAAGCCTGGGCACTGTGGTGACCCCCACCCCCGGCCCGTGCCCCGGGGCTGCCCTGCCAGCTTCCTCTCAGCCCTCCCGCCCAGGCAGCTCCAAGCTACCGCGGCTCCCACGCACCTGCACGGCCTCCGCACTCACAGTCCCGCGGACACCCAGACGACCCTCTCTCCTGGCGGGTCCTCTGCCCGGCCCCGGCCCCAGCCTGACTGCTCAGCCCCTCCGGGGGAGGCTTGGACTCCCTGCGCCTGCCAGGGGAGGGCCGAGCAGAGCCCGCTCACAGCGAGTCGGGGGCCGGTGCACACAGGAGAGCTCCGGAGCCAGACGTGCTTTCCCCAAATGGGCTGTTTTCCCAGGAAAGGATCTGCCTCTAAACACAAAAGTAGCGCTCCTCCTCCCTCCCTTCCCACCCACAGTGACTTCTCGGTGTCCAGGCTCATTCTCTCCAGGGCAAAAGAAGGAAGGGGCAGGGTGGGGGAGGAAGGAATGAAAGAGAGAGAAGGAGGGAAACAAGATAGAACAGGACAGCAACGCCGAGCCCAGCTCTGCGGAGAAGCCCACCGAGGGCGGCAGCCGGGGGATGGCCGCGGTGGGGCCCAATCCAGGTTCTTGCGGGCTGGGCTCCGGGAGGCCTGGCGGGCTGGAGAGAGGGGGTGAGCGCAGCTCCCAGCCTACCACTGCCTCCTCAAAGGGACAGCCTCCGGGCCCCGGGGCCCCGTCCTGTCCTCGATGGGCCCGGCTGCCCGGTCCTCCAGCCTGCTTTCTCTGCCAGGACAAGACTCCCAGGTGTCTCTTCTGGTAGCAACAGTGAAAAGTAAGGTGTCCTTGTCAAAAACCAGCCAGCAGACCCCGCCCATACCCCAAAGGACACCCGCCGCCTCTGGTGATCCTCTTGAGTCCTCGGGGCGGGTGGGGGGGAGGCCCTTACCGAGGCTGGCTGGGACCTGCTGGGCTGGCTGCCCCTGGTCGTGCTGCAGCCTCCCCACCTGGTCCTTGAGCTCATCCCTGCAGCTCCCCATTTCTACTTCTCTCTGCACCAGCGTTTTTGCCCCCCAGAGGTACAGCCTCTTGCTCCCCTCCTGAGGGCTTGAGATCTCAGCCCCTGGGTTTGGGGATTTTGCTCAAACCCCCACGGAGACCCAACCATCTTGTTACCAGTTTTATTCTAAAGCAAAAGGGGAGGTGGCAGCCCCCACCTTTTCTCTGGGTCAGACTGAGAGGGTAAGACAAGTTCAGGCCACGCACTCAGAGAACGGCAGCCGTCCCAACCCCGACGACGAGCCTTTGCTGTCTCCAGACCGAAAAGCAGCGCAGAGCTGGCCGGCCCGCAAAGCTCATCCCTCTAAATATGCACACCGTGGACCTTCACCAGCCTTGGTCCCACGGTCCCCTAAGTCCTGCAACTGCCCTGGGACCCTTTAGGGTGTGAGATTTCCAGAGGTCCTCCTCCTCCCTGGTGCCCCCGCAACCTGGTCTTGGACCCTTTAGAAGACAGAGGCCGGGCCACCCCTTTGGGGGGGCAGACCGCGGGCTCAGAAGAACTGGGGACAAGTACCGGCCACCAGCACACATGGGCCCTGCACGTGGCATCACCACCATCCCGCTGTAGAGGGAGCCTGGGGCCACCACCTTGAGGCCTTCCTCCCCACCAGGTGGCCAGGGAAGGTGCCTGCAGGTCCCACCAGCTGACCGCAGCCTTGTTTACAACTCTGATCAGGGCCTCTCCGGGGGCCCAGATGGGTCACCCACAGCTAAGGCAGGGCCCTGGTCACGCACCTCCTTTTCTTCCTATTCGGGGAGAAACAGGGCAAAAATGAAAGCCACAGAAAAACCAACCAAGCTCCAGTGACTTTGGATCTAAACGGATTTATTTTGTGTGTGTGTGTGTGTTTTTTTTCCCCTTTTCTCGGCTTCATAGCAAATGAAAAAATTATCCAACAAAACCCAACAACACAAGAAAACTTTCAACGACTTAGAGCATCTCCTGCTCAGAGGGCTGGGCAGGAACAGGCCTGGAAAGAGCACAGGACCCACTGGAGGCCAGGGGCCTGGCCGTCCTGCAGGGAGCGGCTGGCCAGGGGCTGCGCTACCTTCTCCCCACTGGCTAGTCCAAAAAGCCACTGGGCTTAAAAAAAAAAAAAAAAAAAAAATTCCACAAACAAAACGAAACACAATTTAAATGAAAATAAAAACACTTTCTTCACTCTCCCCCATGCCAGGAGGTTCAGGCTGAAACTTCCTCTTAAAAAAAAAAACTTTTTTTTTTTTTTTTTGCTAGAAATACTGTGCATTACTTTTTTTTTTTCTTCCACTTCTCTTGAAGATTAAAATAAGATATATTTCCCCGGGAGTCATAAATACGATCTGGTGCATAGAGAAATAGCAGCAGGGGAGTCCGGGCCAGCCCCCACCCGCAGAGCGCGGCGACCCCCCAACCCCCCTCCCCCCGTGAGTATAGTAGGGCAGCAGGACCGAACACAGCATAGATAATATTCCTTGGCTTCAATCTCTAGGGGACGCCGGTGGCAGGGTGGGGGGCAGGCGGGCAGGAGGGCAGGCAGGGACCGGACCCCTCCGAGCGAGCGACACATGCTGGGACACGCGGACGTCCGGGGGTGGACCCCGGCCGGGAACGAGGGAGCTTCCTCCGGGGTTTTCTTTCCTAATCACCGAGCAAAATAAATAGAAATACTTCGAAAATAAAGTCGCTTTAAAAAGGAGTAGTAAAAACGGGCAAGGAAGGTGAGGCCGCGAGAAGGACGACGGACGGGGGCGAGGCGGGCGGGCGGCGTCGGAGCGGAGGACCCCGCTGGGCATATGTACAGGCAGACGCCGGGGAGGAAGTTCGCTCCGGCTCAACTTTCCCGGGAACCCCCGCGCTCCGTGCGCAGAGGGGTCGCGGCCACGTCCGGACGGCGAGCCAGGAAGGCGCGGGGCGCCGCGGCCGGCCGCGCGGTGGGCAGGGGCCTCCAGTCCGGCGCCTGCGAACCTTGCGGCGGGGCGCGCGGGGCCCGCCCGACCGCGGAGTCCGAGCGTCTGCCCGGCGGCGGCGCACGCTCGGGGCGGGCGCTCACAGGAAGAAGTCGGGTGCGCCCTTGGCCCCGCCGGGCCCGGCCTGCGGCGGCGAGGACTCCCGCGGGAAGCCGGCCCCGCCCGCGCCCCCGGGGCCACCCCGGCCCGCCAGCTTCTCGTATTTCTCCTTGTACAGGTCCCGCTCCTTGGCCAGGCGCCCCACCTCCAGCTTCAGCTGCTCCACCTGGCTCTGGAGCTGGCACTTCTCGCTTTCCAGAATGTGCCGCTGCTGCACCCGCTTGAAGCGGCACGACTGCGCGTAGCCGCGGTTTTTGAGCGTGCGCCGCTTCTGCTTCAGCCGGATGACCTCCTCCTTACTGAAGCCGCGGAGCTGCCGGTTCAGCTCGCGCACCGACATGGACACCAGCTGGTCGTCGGAGAAGCGCTCCTCCAGGCGCACGTGGTGGCCCGCGCCGCCGCCGCCGTGGTGGCCCGCGCCGGCGTGGTGGCCCGCGCCGGCGTGGTGGTGGTGGTGGTGGTGGTGGTGGTGGTGGTGGTGGGCGGCGTGGTGCGCGCCGTGATGGTGGCCGGCGCCCATGTCGTCCGCGCCGCCGCCGCCCCCGAAGCCCTGGCTCCGGAAAGCTTCGTACGCCGCCGCGGCCGCCGGGTGGTGCGCGCCGTGGTGCCCGGCGTGGTGGCCGCTGCCGATGAGCGCCTCCACCGCGTCCTCGGGCGTCAGGTTGAGCGCCTCGGGGTTGAGGTGGTGCTGGTAGCCGCTCATCCAGTACAGATCCTCCAGCGCCGGCTTCCCCGAGGCGCCCCCGACGGCGCCCGGGCCCCCGCTCGTCGGCCCCGGGGTGGCCCCGGCCTGCGCCGCGCCGCCGCCGCCGCCCCCCGCGCCGCCGCCGCCGGTGCCCGGGCTGGGCGCGCAGAAGCTGGGCGAGGAGGGCACAGAAGAGCAGGGCGTGCTGAGCGGCGTCGAGGACAGCGAGCCGGGCGGCAGGCGGTGGCAGAAGCGCTCGGCCTCGGGCGGTTCCTTCTTCACCTCGAACTTCATCAGGTCGAAGTCGTTGACGTATTCGATGGCCAGCGGGCTGCTGGGCAGCTCGGCGCCCATCGCCAGCTCAGCGGCCATCGCCCGGGGCCCCGGCCCCGCCGCCGCGCCCGGCTGCGCCCCGACGGGAGGCGGCGGGGCGGGGGGAGCCGCGGGCCTCTCCCCCCCCTTCACTCCCCACCGGCGGCGGGTCTCGGCGAGGGGGCGGCGCCCAGACGCGCGGGGAAAAGTTTCGCGCGGCCAACTTAGCGGCGGCCGCGGGGGAGGCCGCGGGTCGGGGCTCTCGGGTGGCCCCGGCCGCACCCCAGGGGGCGCAGGCCGGCCTTGCTCCCTGTCCCCTCGTGGGCGGCCGGGCGGGTGACCGGGCGGGTGGCAGTGAGGCCGCCGCCTCGGGCTGCTCAGGCTCCCCACGCTCCACCCGCGTCCACCCGGCCCCGCCTCCACGGCCGAACGCCGCGCCGCGCGCTCCCCTTTATAGAGCAGGGCGCTCGGGCCCGCCTCCCTGGGAGGGGCGCGGGCCCTCAGGCCAATTGGAGCCCCAGACCCGCCGCCCTCATTTGCCTATCCCCATGGCAACCCGGAGCCCAGCTGTCAATCTGCGGGGAACAGCTGTGGGAAGGGGAGATGACCTGCAGCCTGCGAGAGGAGGGGGCAGGGCCCTCTGGTGGCCGCCGCGGGGGACTGCACGCGCGGAGGGCGCGGGGCAGAGGGGTGCGGAGAACGCGCAGCGCGGGGGTCACGGAGCCCGGCCTGCGGCCTCCAGGGCCCCGCGTCCGCGACGGCGAGGCCGCAGAGTCTCGGGGAGCTGACGGGGCCCCTCGGTGCCTCGGTCTCCCCGCCGCCCGGCGGGCCCTGACCCCACAGCCTCGCTAGCGCGGCGGCGCCGGGACCTTCCGGCCTGCCGACAGCGGGGCCACTGCGCGGCGCGGTCGGGCGCGGCGAGGGGAGTGCCGGTTATTTTTAGCCCCGCGGTTCGGGCGGGTTCAGGAATTTAGTCAACAAAGTTGCTGGCACCTCCGTTCAGCGGCTCCACCGCGGGGCGCAGGTGGAGAGGGCGAAGCGCGCGGGCCGGCGGGGGCGGGGCGCCGGGGAGCCGAGGCCGGGGGGTGGGGGGGGGCCGAGGGGCGCGCGGGTAGGAGAGACCGGGCCCGCGGCCAAGGGGCGTCAGGAGCGCACGACTGTGCAGGGGCGCGCTCCCGGAGCAGGGGGCCCTGGACACGACCCCTCCAGGGTGGAGGGAGCTGGGAGGGGCCGCTTGCTTCAGCGTCACCCTGAGTGCTTGGTGCCCCCCCAATTTCTATACTGCTGTTATAGGACTTTTACAATTAACAAATTCAGTCTTAAATATAACCGGCTGTGCATCGAAATAAAATTCTGGAAGGACCTGGGCAGGAAGTCACTGGGGCAGCTTGTTTTTATCTTATTCCAGGCATAAATGCCTATTATCTTATAATCACAAAAATTCATACAAGTGGGAGGAAAACCCCATTTCCTAAGATGTCACGGGGTGTCCCAGCCCCGCTGTGCCAGGAGGGCACCACTCACCCCTTCTTCCTGCCCCCACAACCCTCCCGGCTGGGCTCTGCTGGGTAGGCAGGGTCAGGCCCACCGCGAGAACCCTCCTGCCCCTGCAGGGATGGCTCAGCCGGTGGCAGAAGCAAGGCCCCCAGCTGGCGCTTGGGCTCCAGGCTACATGGGTTGCCAGTCGCATTGCAGGGTTTGGGGTTCCCTTTAAGGCCCCCCACTCTGCGCTCAGAGGGAGGCCACACTCAGCCACCAAGTCTAGCTAAGTGCGGACAGGTCCCCCTACATCCAGCCCCCAAGTGTGATATTCAAGGATGCTGGGCCCTGCCTTCGATCACACACAGATTGATTCATCTGGCACACAGCTCTTCATTTCCGCACCCACTCATTCATTCACTGCCCTGGGGAGGAGGCGGCCTGGGGCCAAGCAGGGCCCCTATGTCCCTGACAGGCTCAGGCACTGGCCTTGGGGTCGGACTAGCCAGCAGGCCTGCCCTCAGCTCTTGGCTGCCCGGGAGCCTCAGGCGCAGGAGACCCCGGGGGAGGCCCGTGACCCTCGGCCTCTTGCTGCTTGTATGGGGGGGCAGCAAAGCAAGGTTTACTGAGTGAGGGTACAAAGCTCCCAAAGAGAGAGGGAACCCGAGAGGTTTGCCCCTCTTGCTGCCTTCTCTGTCTGCTCCCTGAAGCCTGAGGGGCCTCCGCAGAGAGCTCTCGCCAGTCAGGGGCCATCAGGCCAATGGCACTGTCCGCAGGCTCTGGAGGGGTCACCCCTGCGGCGCTGTGCAGAGTGGGCGTGGTGGGCTTCTTGAGCCCAGGTAAGGTGCTGGCCTTTCCAGGCTCAGGTGGCAGGCTCCAAGCCCGCTCCTTCCTCCTCAGCCGGGGCTGGGGAGCGGCATCCATGAGGACCCAGAGAAAGCAGACAGGCTTGCCGTGTGCCCTCAGCCAGAGCAACGCCGTCCTCTGGGCTGCCCATGTGCAGCCAGAGGAGGAGCACCCCGATTCCGCGCTGCCCCAGAGAAGGCACATGCTCTTCCCGTGCAACCCCTGCATGCCAGTCAGTGCTTGAACCAACGGGATTCCACAGGGCCCACCCCGTGGCTCCTCACTAGATGCACCCCACAAATCTTTACTGAGTAGCTATAGCATTGCCCTGAGGGCGTCTTCCATCAGGAAGGTGGCCCAGAGATCTCTGGTGGGAAATGGGAGCTTGAGGACATAATGCAGCTTTTCATTAGGCGCCTGGGCTCTGTGTTGGGTGGGTTTGTCCCGGGCTTGGGATGGCTCGTCTCTGAGCCCCACAGCTGGGAGGACGTGGAGGCCGGGGCGACGGGACGGCTGATGGCTGGAGCCACTGGTAGTGTCTTCGGGCCCAGGCCTGGCTGGATCCAGGCAGTGCGGGCACGCAGTCGCCCCCGTGGGCTGGTCGGGCTACCTCGCAGCATGGAGGCTGGTGTCCAGGGGGAGGGTCCAAGAGAGCAGGGCGAGGGGTGGGCGCCTGGCATTTTTGTGAGTGCCTCGTTAGCCGAGGTGTGGCAGTGGTCTGCCCACCCGCTGTAGACCAGGTAGAGGAAAAACACTACACAGTTACGGCATCTCTGCGGGTCTGCCAGCGTGCAGGTGGCTTGAGGCAGAAATAAGCCATGCAAGGACCCACCAGTAAACCACGCAGTGTGTCAGCGTCCCCGGTCGGAACAGACTACCCTGAGTCTAGCGACTTAACCCACGTTTACCACGTCCCGCCCAGTGCCCGAGGTTTGAAGTCCTGCAGGCCTTGACCGCCAGCCCCCACCCCCGTCCTGCTCAGGGTCTCCTGGGCAGGTTCCTCGGGGAAGGATGCCTGCAAGCTCAGCTGGTTGCTTGGCAGGGCCGTTTCCCAGAGTCTGAGGAGCCCAGGCCCCGGCTGCCTGGGGGCTGGTGGACGCCCTGGGCTCCCCCGACCCTATGGCTGCCCCCACTGGGCCGCAGGAGAGCCTTTGGAGGCTTACATCAGCAGGGGACAAAGTCAGCTGGGTTCTGTGCCTGGAAGCAGGTCCCAGGTCCCGCCCTTTCAGAGGGAGCCCCAGGAGCAGGTGAGAGGCCTGCGGGGGGGTGTCGGGAGGGGCTGCCGGAGCTTGCTGCTGGCTGTGAGGGGTGCCCGCCACGCCGGCTTGCCGCCGGACAAGCACCAGCCGGCAGGAAGACGCCAGCCCGCCCGCACTTGTCCTAGGCCGCACGCACTGCACTGCCCGGGGCTCCGGACACTCGATGTTAATGGACGCTTCAGCAGAAAGTGTGGTGCTGCACAGGGTCTGGCCGGGTATTTTTGTCCAGTCCCCACTGCTCAGCCCCCCAACAGGGTCCCCCCACCCCCTTCCTGGGCTCAGTGACCGCAGGGCCCGGTGCCCTCCCCACTTCGGGGACTTATCTGCACTTAAAATGAGGAGGCTGCTGTGTACCAGGCACACTCTGGGGGGTGCACACAGCTGGGGGGTGGGGCAGGCACCTCCTTGGGGAAGGGCTTCAGGCTGGGAAGCCCATCCGACCAGCGGCTCTCTTCCAGTCCACTCCCCGAGTCCCCAGGGGAGGCCAGGCCCAACCCGCCCCGTCCTCGCCTCCCCCTCCTGCTCCCACATCAGGCACCTCACTTCACCCTGAGACTAAGGAACCCCAGCTTAGAGCTGAGACGTGGACCACGGCTCCGAGGTCTCCAAAGCCCACCCGTCCGGGGCCCAGCCCCTCACCTCCAGCTCGGAGGGTCAGTGGAGTGTCTCCTCCCTGCTGCAGGGTCTGAGCCGGGCCACCAGCCCTGCCACTCTGCTGGCCACACGAACCCAGGCCTCACCTGGACAGACATCCGCGCCCTGGCCACAGCAGGCAGCAGGAGAACCAGCGCGAGGGGCCCAGGGCCGGCCTGCTGCCCTCATATGGGGCTCCCCATCCTGTGCGGCCAATCTCTGGGAGTCCCCATAACCTGCCATGCCAGGACAGTCCATGGAAGGACATGGGCCTGGGGCCAGAGACGATAGGCTCCAGGAGATGGGGCAGCCCTTTCCTGGTCTGGAGGAGCCCATGCTGTGCTCTCCGCAAAGGCCAGAGACTCTGCCTGGAATGCATGTCCTCAGCCCGCACCTTGATTAGTCTGGGTTGGTGCGAAGTGACCAGCACCTTCAGCCCCGAGGGTCTCTGCTGGCCTGCTCCTGGCACGAGAAGCCCAGAGGGACCAGTGGGCACACTCCGCTCAGAGGAACTGCCCCCCCCCCACCCCCGGCCTGCCCAGGAGCCCAGGCTCTGACCAGGCAGAACCCCGGGCCGACAAGGTCCCCAGATGGGTCAACAGGAGTGTGGGGGAGCTGGGCCCGGGCCCAGAACAGGGCAGCCACTGGCCCAGCATCTCGTGCTTCCTGGAGTGCCAGCCCTTCCTGAGCCTTCCCCACTGGCCCACGCGGTCAGAGCAGCTGCTTCTGGGCGGTGGGCTTCATGTGGGGCTGCGTGGGCCGCGTGGCTCCAGAGCAGTCAGGAGACCCTGGCTGAGCTAGAGCGAGGGCTGCGCTGGGAGGGGCCGCCCCCCGGTGGCCGTC